ACCGATTGAATGCCAGCCGTCCAATTTTTTGTGTGCAGACAACAGTGAAATGTCACTGCCAAAACAAAGAATATGCTAAGCCATGATATAATCAGTGAGTAGGACTCATGAATCATTTGCTGTTGTACTTTTTTAATAGATATTTCTTGATTCATATCAATTGTTGAATGATGGTGAGAAGAATCAACATAAAGACCAGGCAAAGCAATAAATCAAGTTCATGATCTGTCAAAAACATTTACATTTGTCTGCATTTTTTTAACAAAAGCTGCAAATCTCACATAGATTATTGTAATGTTTCTTCATAGCTGCAGGAACCACTTCATGAAACATACAGTTTATGTTCGTATAATAAATAACATCATAATTATTTATTATTTAAAAAAAAAATAACAAATTGCTTATAACAGACCTGGGTTAAATTGTATCTGCTGTATGGTTTTATTAATCTTTCTCAGCTGGATGGGTTTTCTTGAAGACGGTGAACAGTGAGGCAAAAATGATTGCAAAAAATTTGTGTTGCTGTGCCAACTTTTTTTTTACAGGATTTTTACTGTGATCGACTCGGCTGCTATTAACAACAGAGATTTTAGCCTCTGCTTTGTAAAAGCTACAGTCAAAAAGACTTGTAAACCAAAATGCTGTGTTTTCAGAAGCTGTGGTTTACAGTGCAGCTGTGGTTTGGGTCCACAAGCCTGCTTCTTTGTCCTAATCTGGAATCAAGTACATCGTAATTCTTTTTCCGATATAAAATGTTGATGGTCATAAAAATAACCCCTTAAATTACACACTGCAGCAGAGCAAACATGCTGTCTGCAAGTTTGAGGCTAATTTTATTGTAGTTTGATTAGGCTGTACGTCATACAAAATGTAAGGAGAAAGCTGAATTCAGTGAAAATGCTACTGGACAGTACCTCCTAATTCCTTTTTAAGCAGCAAGTACTCAACTGCAATAAGAAAGGACTAAAGTTCCTGTTAAACTAAGGCTGTTTTATAAAAGTGATCATTTGGAATTGAGAGAATATTAAAGAATAGTTTAAACTAGCAAGAGATTCTACTTATATGTAACTTTCAAATTGCATTAAATTTACTGTGGCTTAGCGATATCTTGTGGTAAAGTGCCAGACTGCAATCGACTGAATACTGTTCACTTCTCTTTCCAAAGGTGTGAAAATTATTCAGTTCCTTCAGGAGAGAACATAAAGCACTATGAGAGACATAAAATTGTTCTGTCTTGTGGTCAATTGTCTTTGAATGTTATAACCCTGCATCACTGCTTACTTTAATGCTGCCTGGATTCTAGGATTGTTCTCTTCTCTTAAGGTCAAAACATTGGCAAGGTAAACAGCCAGTATGACTTGCATAGATGGGGTGATGTGAAAAATCTTTACAGCTGATATTTTATTCTGTTTTTGCTTTTATGTCACATTTAAATGTATAAAGCTATCAAACAAATTATTAAACTCCTAAATTTTGTTTTGTTTTTGCAAAACACTGC